GTAGCCGACCATTGTGCAATAAGTGCCGTTATTGCAGTGAGATTGGTTCGATAACATAAGAGAACCGCTGCAATTATTGGTCATCATCATCATCAAGATGCTTAATAGTAATAAGCTCATGACACGATGAGTTGACATTTTTCTTCAAGAATTTGGGTTCATTACTGGTTGCTTATAAAAGAATCTGGTGTGGTCGTTTTCATTCCGATTAAATAATATTTTCCTAAAGAAAAAAGCAATAATTGCTTGATTTGCTTTTCAACATAGGTATTATGACCAAAAGGCCTTTGACCTGGAGGTATGCGAGTCTTCGGCTTTCTAACAAGTCAGAGGTTCAAACCTCACCAAAGATGAAGATGGTGTATGCGTTTATTTGTTCTATTTGTCGTATATAAATATTATATACATAAAAAAAATCATAGGTACTCTGGCTGAAATTATCAAATCGATTTGAACAAATTCTTTATAACATTTTTAAAATGCAAGTAAAACATAACAAAACATAACGTAACGCAACGTGACATGATAGAGTTGTTTGGTAAGAAAAACCTGGATAGAACATTACAGATAAAATTGACCTATTTACCCCCAATGAGTTGTTTATATCTTTTATATATTTTCATCAAATTTATGTCATTTATTGAATTATAATAAAATCAATATTTTTATAACAAAATATAATTAGAAAGTTTCCGTCAAGACATTAAAGTGATACAAAAATAAAAAGTTTATGTCGTTTCTAATTTTTATTTATTATTAGTATCTAATAAATTACATAAATTAACTAAAATGTAGAAACCGTATAAAAATAATATTTTGAGGAACGTAAAGTGAAAGTTTAGAGAACATGAAATACAATAAATAAAACTTAAACAATGAATAAAATGTAAACCGAGACGTATTTAATATTTTATAAGAGAATTAAGTTTTAATTTTGATACTGTATTGATAAAATACGCATATGTTCCATCTTGTTCGATGGGGCTGGGGTGGAACATTCCTATTCTAACAAGTCTTTGACCTCCTAACAAAAATATGAGGAGGGTGTATGAGTTTATCGTTTGTAGATTTTGTAGTTTGGTTTTGAGATTGTATTGGTAAAATATGCATATGTTACATCTTGTTCGATGGAGGCGGGGTGGAACAATAATCTCTATTCTGTTTTGTTATGTCCAGTATACCAAACACACCCTAAATACCACAAACCAATACAAAATTAAATTAAATAATACTATATTTAATAAACTATTAAAAATTAAATAAAAATAGGCAATTTTTTTATAACTATATATAACATATTATCAAAAGAAACTTAGAAGCCGTTTACCTAAACGCTTACCCGGTAAAAATCAACAACTATAATTTACTTTACCGAGTAAGATTGTAGTCTATCAACAAGATACCGTATGCAACAATTTACGCGGTAAATGTTTACTGGTAAGTGTTGTCATCCTCATTTACCAACTAAGACTCTCCATCTTTATCATTACTCTTTTCGAATAAGATTCTTGACCTTTACAATATTCAACCAGTAAGATAAATGACTTCATTAGATTTTCTGTGATAACCATTTACAGCCAATTAAATATATTAAACTCAACCACAAGGGTGGTGCCTGATTGGTTTGAGCTTGACTCCAAAGGTCAAAAGTACCAGGAGGTCATAAGTTCAAATCCAAGGAGGAATAAAAAAAATCCCCTTGTGGCCATGGAGGTTCAAATGCAGCGACTCCGGGCTATCTGCAAAACAATTAGTCTTACTAGGATTAGTCGGCTCGTATAGCGAGTTGGATATCCAGGTTAGTCAAAAAAATAATAATATTAAACTCATAATATCTTAATTAAATATATGTGGGGATTGTCCAAAAGTTGGTAACATTATTGACTAATGGGGACATCATAGTTTGTATGATAGTAGCCACTTGTTGTTTGGCATTTGTTTGTTTTAAATATTCTAAAATTTATGTTTTAAAAAGTAAAATAAATAGTTATATGTGAAGTGGCTAAGATTCTTTGGCAAAATGGCTTATAATCCAACTATTAGTTAAGAACAAATTGTATGAAAAAGTAATCTACTTTAATTTGGTTTTTATTTTGAGTAACATACTTTCAAAACTTTCATTTTGGTACTTAAGATGTAAAATTTTTAAACATTTAAGTACTCGGATAACCGGTTATCATGCTGATGTGGTATCCAACTCAGTATTATTTACTGACGTGGTTAGTGACATGAATTTTTTTTTTCTAATTTAAAATTAGTATTTTTTTAATTTAAAGTTAGTTTTCAACCGGTTACACCTCTAAATTGATTGATTTCAAAATCGTGGTTTGTTTCTTACAGATAGAGGATGTCGAGGTGGAACCATAGGTCGCTCAAGACTCCATTATATTTGCAAACCGTTTCTCGATTATGAAATTTTTGCGAGCACGAAAACAACCTTTTTGTTTCTTGGGTAGAGCAAATGTGTACATAAAGCAAATATGGGATTTACGGTTCGTTTTTTATATATATGGGGGAATGCACATCTACTACTTGCAGTTATGCACACCTTACATATTAATTTTCTTCTCACATACATCAACATCAAGATTTATTTTACATTTTCAATGTATGATTTGACCTGATTTTGATGCAAATAGGTGTGCATATAGCAAGAATCTTGTTTTTTTTTTGTTTGGTTTCATTTGTTTTAGAGTAAATTACAATTTTTGTTCCTGTGGTTTGTTAATAATTTCGATTTTCTAACCACAAGGGTGGTGCCTGATTGGTTTGAGCTTGGCTCCAAAGGTCAAAAGTAACAGGAGGTCACATGTTCAAATTTAAGGAGAAATAAAAATCCTTTTGTGGCCACGAAGGTTCAAATGCGGTGACTCCGGGCTATCTGCAAAGCAGGTGGTCTCCCTGGGATTAGTCGGCTCGCATAGCGGGGTGGATATCCAGGTTAATAAAAAAAAAAAAATTCGATTTTCATTCCTGAGGTTTAGAAATTGCAATTTCCTCTTCATAGTTTGCAATTTATTGCTATTTTCTTTCTTGGGTTAATTCCTAGCTTAAAGTATTAGAGACCAAAACAGAAAAGACCTGTAAACTAAAGGGATCAAAACAACAATAAATTGTAAATCATAAGAACGAAAATAACAATTTCTAAACCATAGGGACGAAAACCGTAATTTTTGACAAACCACAGGGATGGAAATGTAATTTACTCTAAGTTTTTTTCTTCTATTTCTTAAGCACACAAAGCATTTACGTCGTGTTTTC